GAGCACAGCTAGGAGAGCTAGGTGTCAGCAGGGGTAACATTGGGATTAAGCCGGCGTCACACTACGACTTTTCCTAGGATTTTCAGTTGTAGCCTTCATTTACATAATCGTAAGAAAATCACAGAGAGTTGTAGAATCGCAGCGCGCCCGTTACCATCAGTTGTGTAGTGTGACACCCCCAGCGACTCTTATATCTGTTATAGCGCTCTTTAATGCCTCTACAACTCTCTGCGAGTCACAAGTCGTAGAGGTGGGCAGTGAGCCTGATGTGTACCTGTGAGATAATGTGCCCAATATGTTCCATGTTATAACGCAATACTAATTTGCTTACAATGTTTGTTTTAAAGGTGTTTTATATTTTTAACTGTGTTTTCTGAAGATGTTTATTTATGGAAAACAATGCCCGTGTTACATTTTTCAAGATGTTTATGTGCTTGTTCTCCATGTTGTTGGTGACTTTCATGTGGTGCTCCTCTTGTGCTCCACGTTGATTGGCTACCAAAATGAGGCGACCTCACGGTACTTTTCTGACGCAATACGAGATTTGGAACCATGGTGGAAAGTCGTGAGGGACTCATGTAATTACTCACCCCCTGCGATTCCTTGTCGTATAATTTGACACCCTCTAGGACAGAAAAGGCAGTGAGATTCAGCAACTGCAGTCGTTAAATTTGACATGCGCTCCGACTAGAAGTCGTGTCGAGTCCTGCAGTGTGACACCGACTTTAGTTGACGAAGTCTCTCTTAGATGGCCTGTGGTCCCCAGCCAATACACTGTGTGTCCTGGGAGTGAAAAAAAACCCTTAAATGAAAAATACAAAGCCTTCTATAGTGATGAGCTGAAAATGTGAAACGCATAACTTTGAAATACAAAACAGTTGTGTAATTCTTGAAATGGCTGCAGCACAGAGCTCACAGAATGGATTCTGCTTTTTGATTGTTTTTGCCTCAGTTCCTAATAATACAATCCCCATCATTTCAAAAGCTGAGCTATTATACTTTGCACATGAACTATAAAGTATTCTGCCTCAAGTTTCAACGGGCATAATGTTGCTATTGTTTGCTGACTACATTGTTCCTAGCTAGCTGCAACAACCTCCTATTACTGCCTTTGTGCTGTTTTATAGCCTGGCAACTTGGATGCCAGCTGAGGACAAAGCTGTCTTTACACGGGGGAATGAATGCAGATGTGCTCTGCGTCAGTAGAGGCTTTGGCTTAAGGCTGGAATGGGTATCAGCTGCAGGCCAGAGCCTGTGGGCTGAATCCCCAACATCGCTCCACCCTCCTATGTGTATAATTTGGGTTTGTCCATTCTCTGGGCTTTCAGGTCAGCAGTACTCACTTTTACTTTAGGAACTCAATCCTGCAGGTTTTAGTGGTTGAAGAGCGTTAATGCTCACAAAACTAAAGAATGTATTTATCGTGGTTGTACAGGACCAAAAAAAATATAGCTGTAGGTCCTTGCTGTTGTGATCCTGTACTGATCATGATTGTTCTGACCTCTTTTGGCTTGGATTCTACTCTTTTGTTATATATCAACCAAATGCAGAGGGTTCATGTAGTTTTTTTTTAATTATTTTCTTGTCAGTGCTGTAAATGTTCAATCTTTTCATAGGTTACATTCTGTTGTATTACAAACCTTCTAATTGGATTTTTGTTAAGAGATGTCTTACTGCAGAGAAATGCTTCTCTGTGTATGGTTGCCATGTTAGCACGCCTAACCTGGCATTTATAGCATGGGTAGTGTTAGTTACAGCATTGCCATGGGACTCGTGCTGCAGTAGTGGTTAATATTGCCCTTTACTGTATGCATTGTGTTGATAAGGTTTTGATGCAGAGGAGCAGAACAGCGTCTGTGATTTATCAAAGGCCATCTTCAGACAGCCACTATATTGAGGGCTTCCTGCTGTGTTGTCTCATATGAACTGGAAAGGCTGCCTCATGCCTGTTTCACACACCGACACCTTTTTTCAGTTTGTAAACAATTGACTTTAATGGTGCAAAGGCCAGACCCGAAACACAAAGTCCAGCATCTTAATATCGGGTCACTGTTTTAAAATCTTTTTGTTCGGTGGAATGCACTAGCAGGTTTTCTCTGTCAGCAGATTTTACAACAAATACAAAGTGCAGGAAGAGCCATAGGAAACTGTCAGGAACAGCACTAGTCTGAGCTGTAGATTAGAAGCAGGAGAGGCTGCTGGTGATTGGAAAGTGTGAGAGAAACTGAGTCAGAGGACCATGCAGTTTATCTAACCTGACAGGGGTAGTTCAGTCCATTCTAGTGCAGGTCTTTGGTGTAGCTGGGTCCTTGTGTACACAATTGAATGATAAAATAAGACAGACCTAGAATGGAAAAGACTTGAAGGTCTGCTGTTTTGCTAGCCCTGTTATATATGAATTAAATGTTTTGGATCTGTGACTTTTTTAACTTTTGCATTTAATGAAAATGTTTCTGATTTCAGACTGGATCTGAAGATGAAGCCAGACTGTTCACTTTGTCAAGCTCAGTCAAACCTTTACCTGCACCCTTAAATGCATAACTGAATCAAATATTGACTTCTTTTAACAGAAGTGTTGTGCCTACAGTGTGAGATGGGTTTCTGTCATTTTCCTCTTTGCCCGCCTTTTCTTTCTTTGGCTCACTAATAAAGTGTGTTTATTCTGGAATGATTCCTGTGTAGTGTGTTAGTTCTGGATGAGGAAAAAAGCACAGTCAACTCCAAATGCCCATCTTCACAAAGGCACCAGTCATGTTCCAGAAATTGGAAGTGAGAGGACTGGTTTGAGATTAGTTTTGAAAGGGAAGTTTCATCCAGTAAATGTAACAGTCTTGGCTATTGTTTTAGTCTACCTGTGGTGTAGCATACAAGGTTAAATGAAAGGTACAGTGCAAACCTGCCCTCTCCATTTTAACATTTTCAAGGGAGTACAGGTAGTGATTAAAAAAATGTAAACATCTAAATAAGGAGGGACACCAAAATATCGAAAGCATGGCCTTCCACATAGGTAGTTTCATGCATTGCTTAAGCAAGTAACATTCCAGCATTTTTAAAGTTGTATGAATAATGCTGTACAGGCCTGGTTGCCCATTATTACAGCTTGCAGGGTGCTAGGAGGAGCCCTCAGTGACATTCAGACAGGGGTAATTGATGGGGAGCATTTAACTGGAACATTATGGACCAAGGTAGCTCAACTTGCTGATGTTTCAGAAGCAGCAGTATCTAAGTTGATGTCTTTATGGAGCTTCAAGGCAAAGACACCATCAGAAAAGGGAAACTGGGCGTACAGTAAGTGTGTATGCCAGAGTGGTGATATGCCTTAAATGGAAGTGCAAGGCGAAACAGGCAAGCTACTTCCAATCAAATCTGGCTGCAATTTTCAGGTGGGATAGCTGGTTTCATGGAGAGTAAATGTTAACAGCTGGTTTGCAATGCTCCAACCACTTCTCACACCTGACTATGCACTATGTGAGTCCGAAGAGAACAGGCTACGGTCAGACTAATCATCCTTCACCATATTCTCAGCAAACAAGTGCACGTATGGCACCGACCTAAAGCCGTTTCAACAGTGATGGGTCATGGTGCTTCCACAACATTGTGGGGTGCATTTTCCTGGGATGATTTTGGTGAACTAATTTCCTGTAAAAGGCAACGGTACCGAGTTATCGTCTTCGTCCCCATGGTGCAGGGGTTCTTTCCTGCCAGAAGAGGTGGGGTGTCTTCCAGGTTGAGCATGCCCTCATCCACAGAGCATGTGAGGTCACCCAATGGTTTGATGAGCATGACAGTGAGGTTTTCCATGTGTCACGGCCTAATTAGTCACCTGGTCTGGATCCAATCGAGGATTGATGGGATATTGTAGAACGAACCCTGAGACAAGTTTTTCCACCACCATCAGCCAGACGTGAGCTGTTTGACCTTCCCGTGAACGAATGGTGCCACATCCCTCCTGCGGTTTTCCAGACAGTGGTGGACTCTATGCCATCTTACATGTCGGTCGCACATGCTCAGTGCCCTATTGAGTGATGTTACTCCGGTGTTTCATTGTCCAGAGCCTGTACCTCTAAATGCAGCTTCTGCTTGTAGCAGTACATTTCAAATTTGTATCCTGATATGTAGCTTGGTAATCTGTTGGAGTCTTTGTTTCCAGGAGACAAGAGGTGCAGATGGTACAGTTCGTAAAGAAAATGCTGTGCAGGAAACAGCCCGCCCATTAAATATTTTCAGCACAGGAAAATTGAGACATTTTTAGATTAAATGTTTGTAAGACTATTTTCTTTACTCTGGGTACTGACAGTTGTGGCAAACCACCAGAGTACACATACCTTGCACCAAGGAAGCTGCTCAGTTCACTGTTGTCTCTACAGTATTCTCCTTTCTACCCGACTACATGGGATCTCTGGTCCTAGGAGAGCTAGTCATATGGGGTATGAACTAATGTTTTCTTGTGCAGTCCCAAGAGTGTTATCGTTTAGAAATAAAACACTTGCAGGACATTAGTTCTCTCTGCTCCCTTTAAACTTTGCTCATAATGTTACTGTTTCAGCAGCGTGGGGGGTTGGGATTTCAAAAGGATTGCATTATGTACGAACAATAAAGACGATTTTCAAAAAATCGTTAAGAGTTGATCTAACAGGTTTGTAAAGGTTGGGGAGGTATACAGCAGTGCTGTACAGCACAAGTACAGTTCATCCGTCCTCTGCGGTCTGTTCTCACTGTTGCTTCCCAGAGGTACTGTACCAGTCATATTACAGTTAGAACAGAGACAGAAGACAGGTCTTAAACTTGCTTTAAAACAGGTGTTTCACCCAATTTATTTTTTACTCTGTTTTTTTAGTGTACCAGCATGTCATATTGATTGTAAAGGACTGAGTAAATTTTCGTAAGTCTTGTTTAACATTAAGAGTGAGCCTCTGGTGCTCTTAGTATGGGATTTAGAATTAGAGTATAGAACTGGACGCAGTCAATATGTTCTGTCATGTTCTACATACTCCACTGCAGTGATTGCAAAAGTTGTTTTTCCAGCTTCCATTAGGCCTTGTGTGGGATGGTAAAGCCCTGGAGCTAATAATTTTAATGTTTGTGCAACTCCAGCTTCCAGTAACTCCTGGCAGTGTGCTGGGGGAGAAGAGGAAGTGTAGCCGTGCTCGTGTGCATTTCCCACCAGGAATGATCACTGTAACAATGAGCTGCTCCATGCTCTTTGTGTCACAAAAGCACTGGGAAAAAGAGAACGTGGAACCCGCCAAAGTTGTGTAGCCTCTTCATCGGCTTACTTTCAGAATTGTGAGTAAAAAAAAACAAGTCACGACACTTCAGAGAAGTGCGGTGATGTACTGTAAGTCCTGACTCTGAGACAGTAATCAATTCATCTGGCAATTAGAATACCAGATTAGTTATAATGGAGATGATTGAAACTGAAAATGAGAAAATTATAGCCTTGATTCTGCTTTTGTTAGATTTAGTTTGAGTTCACCTTTTTTAATAATTTTTCCCACATTGTTTCTATAAATTGTTTTTCCTTTTACACTGTTTCTAGGAAGAAGTTGGGATTGCTCCTTCATTCTTCTGAGGTCTGTACTGGTTTTTACAGTGGCTTCTTTTACTGAGAATTGTGTAGGGGTTGTAACAATTTCCTCATGCTTTATTACTGGACTTTTGACTCCTGGCATTATAAATGTACAATGTGAAGGAGCTGCAAGACTGCTTACAAAAGCAGCCCATTTGTATTCTCGGTGGAAAAAGCATAACAAGAAAACTTGTGAAGAGGAACAGTAACTAGGACTGCTTTGAGAGAGGCTATTATTAATATTTGCAATGTGCACTACCGACCCTGTCACACCAACCTAAACAGCTTAATGCATTTAATGTCCTTGATCTGGATTACACTGTGCTCAAGACTCAGAGTTTCTGACATTTGGTTGCAATGAACAGAACTTGGGTTTGAGTTCTCTATAAATACCTCCCTTGCATAGGCTTTACCCATGCATTTCTCACATTAAATGTATTTTTTACACTTTTACTTGGTTTTAGACAATCTGAATGTCAGATTAGCCTGGATATGACCCAGAAAGTGCAAGAATCAGTGGGTGTCTCTACTTTTTAACTAGAATAGCACATTGCTTTAGGAAATTAAAGCATATTGCTTTAACATTAAAATCCATATGGTATCTTGAATCCCGCTTTGAATGTTGCAAATTCGGTGCTTTGTATTATCATATCAGCTTTGAAGAGGAAAGCAAACAAGTCTTATCTGGGAAATGTCTTCATTTTGCATTAGTGCAAGCGTTAAAACCCGTCTGTGCTGTGGAACTGAATGTTTCTTTAATTTTACAAGTCAATGATTAAATAAGTATGATTTGTAGGGTCTGTAGTTGCAGGAGAAATTAGCAAGTGTGCCGTAGCTGCCAGATGTGAGGGGGAGGGGGGAGGATGGGGAGGAGGGCGAGAGGTGAAGAAAGGGGGTGGGGGGTGTGTACAGTACATGAGTCACTGTAGATCTCCACAGGCAGGAATGAAGGACCTGCTGCTTCTGCTCGAGAGACTGGATGTTTCTGAGCGCCATCTCCACCATCTCTGCGCTGCCGTCTCTCCCTCTCGTTCACTCTCTCTCTCTCTTTCGTTTCTCGCAGAAGTGGAATGTGCAGGTTTGGAGATGCCTTACGTGGATCGGCAGAACCGGATCTGTGGGTTCCTGGACATCGAGGAGAATGAGAACAGCGGCAAATTCCTGCGCCGCTACTTTATCCTGGACACGCGCGAGGGCAGTCTGGTGTGGTACATGGACAACCCCCAGGTAGGGAATTGTCTGCAGCGGGCACTGTAGACGTGCTCACATCCAGCTGGCAGTGCAGCGGACGATCTCATCACTGTGTAGATCTTTATGGTGTGCAACAGGCTGTAGACCGAGGGAGCATTTGCTATTGTACTGCACTTATTGCACTTATGTGCTTAACTTTATGCTGCACTATATAAATGCAGCCTTTCCCCTCTGTGCTCAAAATACTGAGGGAAAACAAAGCTGCAACTGGATCCTGGGACACTCGGAAGTACAACAATCTCTTCATCAGGTTTGGTCAGCAGTCTGAGAACACATTCAATGAGTTTGTGAAACGTCTTTGTGGAGGTGGATATTTCTGACATTTTTGAACAGGTAGGCATGCAGATGATACCCAGCTGAGGTAACGTCACTCTGCTGCAAAGGTTTGGAGCTCTAATGTTGGTAGGTTAGTATGACATGCGAAGTAGTAGCATTAGTAAAACAACACTTCACCCACACTCAGATGGACAGGTTCTTTGGGGTTATATTCGCATTGTAACAGACTGAGCTTCTTGACTGTTCAGTAAGTCTTGCGTTTCTTGCTTCTCCCTACTGTGGTGTAAACGTGCACACGCGCCACAGGACATTGGGGATGGGTGCTGTGAATGTTTGTCCTTTTGTGTCTTTTCAAAAAAGGCATAGGAATCTGTAATGCAACTTTTTAAAATATGGATCTGCATTACTGGTTAATTTGGCTGTAAGGGTGTGCTTAAAAAATAAGTTTCATTTTCAATGGGCCTGTGAACCTAGTTCATGCTGTGTGTAGGTGTCTTTGTGCATGTGGGACTGTGACCATTTGACTTGAGTTGTCTGCAAGATGTAATCAGCAGATCTCTGAAGAGTGTTTAGTCAGCGCCGACTCTGATGGGGCCAAGCAAAGTTATCGCACCATCATTTATTAATACTTTCCTAGGTTTTAAATAATTCACTTTGTTTCTATTTATATTTCTAACAGACATTCTTAAAGTTTCATGCACTGCTCTCGCCTCCTTTCATTGGATTTTTGTGTCTACTAGCCTTTATGAAATTGTGGTATGGTTCTTTTCAGGCACAGGAAAGCAGTTAAAATGTTAATAAAGCAGTGCAATTTATGAATCATGTCAGTAACTCCTAAACCCCCTATACATGCATATAAATATAGACTCTATAAGTAGAAATACTGTTTATAGTATAATCAAAATGGATGCGACCGTAATAATTGTTCAAGCACATCTCGGATGACTGTGCTTAGAATTACTGCTAGAGAAAAAGCATTCGAATTTTATTTATGGGTTGTGTGTACTGTATACTGTATATGATGTTAAAAAAGATGCCACCCCCCCCCCCCTCCAAAAAATGAATCATTGTAATCCAGATAGAGCGCATTGCCTTTAAAAAATCTGTAGTTCAGCATGGTTAAGTCTGATGGATAAGATTGAACCCGCTGTGGGTAATTTTAGAAATGCAGTTTTGATCAGGGAAATTACAGAGTGCAGATGCACTGTGCCACCTGCCTTTATTCTTCTTTTCCTCCTGCACTCCTGGCTGCAGATTCCCATCTGCCCGGTGCTCTCAGCTCTGTGCCCTGTCACTAGAGCAATGTGGTGAGGGAAAGGGCAGCTGCTCCTTCACCCCCCTTCTCAATCAAAAAGGGTTTTCAGCCCGTAGCATGCAGCTGCTGAAATATTGCTTTGCTTTTTTTATTCACCTGAGGTCCTAACTGCCAGGTAGAACTATTTTTGTAATTAAATTTTCAGGTCATCTTGATGTCCATGCCTGCCACTACTGCTTGCCATCTAAATTGGAACATTTTTATGCAACACTAAATAAAAATTACAAGTATTTTGTCGTTATTCAGCCACTGTTAGACTGCAGCTATGCATTTTTTCCTGATGTATTTTTTCTTATGTCAGTTGTAAATGTTAAGCCTTATTTCAATAGTGTTGTTCATCAAGGTCTGGGATCTCACAGAATTAGCTATCATTCATGTAAACAAGCATAAAGTATTTTTTGTTTTTATAGTGGAATCACTTTGGTTCTCTGGTGAGATTGAGTTCATTTACCCGAAGGCTTTTAATGTGCACAACACCTCATTTGCACCATTGAAATGTATGTCTCTGCGGTACACACACATGCGTTTTACTTGTCGACAAACATCCTGCTGCCCTGAAGGAAAGTTCCTACAACTCCTATCAGCTCCTCCACCCATCGTGAGCCCTACTAGCTTGCATTTCTAGTGCAGCCTTGCATCTGTCTGTCTGTACCACTGTACACTTTGCAGCCCTGCAGCAGCTTTCTGCAGTAATCACGACTCCACTGATATTTTTACTGCTCTGTCTAGGGTCACTGATCACCTCGGAACACATCCCACATATGTTGCGCACGATGCTTTGAGTTACCTGTGGAATCTCCCACACTGAGAGTCACGAGCTGCCAGTCAGAAGCACCCCCCACACATGCTGATATTCGCAAACGCCCACACCCAGACTTGACAGTATCTTTATTTTACATTTAAATACACCATTCAAGTTTTGTATGTAGGGAGAACTGAAAAGCCCATAGCTATGTGGCTATAAAATGTTTCATATTTCAAGGCATTTTGTCTTCAGTCTTTGCCGGAATAATAATGTGATATTATTCATTACAGCTCTGGGAGACATTTTTGTTTAATGTTGTGTTCCTAGCTGAGTGAGCCTGTTAGAAAAAGTTCCATGTGACCAGGACCATGACTGACCCTAAGTGACTCTCTTAGCCTGACCCCAGATCTCAGACAGCTGTTCCTTAACTTTCTTTCAGAACCTGCCAACTGGAACTGAGAATGTGGGAGCGCTCAAACTCACCTATATTTCCAAGGTCTGTGGATCATTTTGCTTAGGGCTGAGAGGATGTGTGATGTACACAGAGCGATAAAATGATCAAAGATAGTAATTGTGTGTTTTCAAGAGCACATGAAAATAATTAAATTTGTAAATCTGTTTGAAAGCTGTGTTTTGTGCTGCCTTTTTGTTGAACTTTGTAAAATGTGTCATGTCATTATTCCAGCGAGGCGGTGAGTGCATTAGCTGCTATAATGCATTTCTGTCTCCGAAAGCCCTGTGACACTCCAGAGCCTCTACATTCTTAGACGTGTTCCAAGATGAAGTCTTTTTTTCCCATGCTACTTTTCCCTGAAAATGAAAGACAAGTTGCCAATGTTACCTAATCTTAAAGAAACTTTTAAAAACTGCCACTAGAGATTCACATTACATTAGCATCCAGAATAAATTTAAGTGAAACTTCTAGCATTTCTCTGTGCTGTTTTCTTATCAGAAAAAAAGGTGTGAAACTAGCATATTGGTCAATGTTAACATGTTACTCAGATAGCATAACCTCAGTGATGTTTTGCTGGATGCTGTCAGCAGCCAGTGTCTTGAGACTGGAGGGAAGTGTGGGGTTGTCCACTGACACGATATGTGAATAACACGTTAATTTCACACCCATGTCAGTGTGAGGTCGTCTTGGAGATCTGCGTGAACGCTGAGCCCAGACAAAGCTCCTGCTCATACTAATGCCGTCTTTCTCTCCCTGTACAGGTCAGTGATGCAACAAAGCAAAGACCAAAGGCAGAATTCTGCTTCGGTGAGTATCCAGTAAAGAACTTGTGACTTTCACTTCTCCTTTCTGTTTCATATTGTGTGATCTCTTGGGTCATTTTAACCTTTCTGGAAATTCTGCAGGTGTTCACTGGGAGAATTCTTTAACAGACAGAATTTTAAGAGAAAGAATTGCACATGTTGACCACATGGTTTTAATGTAAGATGACCGATGTTTTAGTTCCAGAACTATGTAAGTGGGTGTCTTGTTCTGGTTGAATTTTTCTGTAATGAAATAGTGGCGTCAGTAGTGTTGTTGGATGATTTAGAGTTGAGTATTTTTTAATCAGAAACAAATCTGTAATCAGATTTGCTTTGTTCCTCGGATTCCCTAATATCAGGCTGACTTGATCCAGTCCCTAGGGACAGTAAACGGAAGGTTTTGTATAGTTGCCTTAAAATCATGCTTAGATACTGACCTGGCTTCTACTATGAGCCCTGTGCAGGGCTTTGTGGGTACTCGGAGGGCACAGTGTTCCCAGCAGCCCCTGGTATTGATGAGAGCGTTGTTCCAGAGCACACCCAGGCTGGCATCCTTCTGAGCAAAGAAGGAAGCTTGAAGAAGTGGGCTAAGGACTGTTAGCCTGCTGTTACTGATACCGCCAACCTCTTCACCCCTTTGCCATTGTTCTCCAAGACATGTGTGGTACAGTACAGTAAAGTAAATCTAAAAAGTCTGATCTGAACTGACACGAGCCATATACTTTTCTGAACATGCTTTAAAACCTTATTATGGTAGGAAGGGTCTCCACCATATTGCCTTACCCATTGTTTTGCTTTATATGGGGGCATGTTTGTCAGGCAGTTAATGACAGCAGCAAGTCCCCTCTTGGTGCTTTATTTATATGGCTTTATTTCCTTTTGGTTAGTGACCTGTTTTAGCTAATTCCTCTCTTTTTCCACATAGATTGTGTAGTTCACATTAGGCACTTAAGGTCTGAGCAACTCATACTGGAAAGCCATAGTCCAGCAGGTCTAATAGGTCACTCTTAACTCATCAGTTTGTACAGACTTGAAACATGAGTTTTGACTGCTTGGTACGCTGATTGGTCTAAGTCATGAATGGTGAATTATTCAACTATCTAAATGACTTAGTTGAACATGGCATCTGCTTCAAAGTTCAGAAAGGAATTTCATTAAGTCATCAGAAGTTTATGATTTCAGAGTGACCCCTAAAACCTGCAGGACTATATCTGTGTGTCCAGGATCACCCTTGGTATTTGTGGTTAACTTTTTTTTGTATTGCCTTCTATTCATGAGATGACGTCTAAGTTTCACAAAATATTATAAGATAAGATATGATCACTTTATTAGCCATATACAATTTCTTGCATTAGGAATTTGTCTTTTTCGCATACCCCAGCTTGCTCTCCATAAGACCCACAGGCACACAGACAGGGAGAGAAGTTTGGGGTCAGAGCGCAGGGTCAGCCATTGTACAGCGCCCCTGGAGCAGTTGGGGTTAAGGGTCTTGCTCAAGGGCCCAACGGAGTAGGATTCCTCTGCCGGCTGCAGGTTTTGAACCTGCAACCTTCCAGCCACAGGTGCAGATCCTTAGCCACAGAGCCACTGCTCTGCCCCCATGTTATATATTAACTTTTTTTCTGCTTGATGTTGAGAACTTGTTGTCCCTTACCAAAGCATGCTGCCCATTCTATGAATGTTAAATCCAGACATTTAATGGTGCAGATGCTGCTGTTGGAAAAAAGAGTCACCAGTTAAATGTAGTTTTGCACAGTTTGCTTGAACTTATTTCAAGTTGGGAAACGTGGGACAAAGGAAGCACTGGAGTAGAAAGCTTTGAAAGTTGTCATTCAGGCTCTCTCTCTCCACCTGCACGCAGGCCCCTTATCTAGACACACTGCAGTTACGCTGTGTTTGGGAGAGAACCAGTGCTCCAGGGCAGCTCAGATGTGACAGTTTCCTGTCTGGGGTGCTGTTGTTGAAGCGCCTTTTGTCTTCTTGCAGTGCGCTGCTGCATTCGCACTCAATTGAAGGAAGCACTACAGTGACCTGCCATTGACTGCGTTGTGTGTTTTTTTTGGTCGATTGGGGGGAAATCTCCTTCTCCTTGGCAGGATGCTGGCATCCTCATCGGAACCCAAATCCAAAACCCGGGGATATTTATAGATCACGACTTGCGTGCCCCATTTGATTTTTTAAAGAAAAGTTCTAATGTTCATCACCCTTTCTCGATTGCCTTATGTTACAAGGCCTTTTGATTCTTTCTGGGAAACACAACCTTTTTTTTTCTTCTCTTCCATTTCTTTTACCGGAATAAACCCGAAAATGATGGCTTGCCCATGATTCATGGTTCTGACTTGTCACCCGAGAACAGATGAAAGCACCTCTCCTTGCAGCAAGAGGTGCCAGCTTTTACTCAGGGGAGGGAGTAGAAAAAAGAAAAAAAAAACAGCACAGACCCATTTTGCTCCTGCTCTGTGAGTGAAGCATACTGCTGGAATCTGTGCGTAATCATATCCTGTTGTGAGTCACCCTCTCCTCTCACTTTGTTTATATAGAAGCTCGTCTTTGTATGAACTGGATCGTGCTGGGTAGGGGCAAAGAGGGGATGAAGTTTAAAGGCACAATACATTAATTTAAACTGTAATGACTTTACATTTTCACATGCAGCACAAGTTCTTTGCTTAGAAATACCAATCTTTGGTTGTATTTTGTTTCTTGTGTGAATGGACACTTTTTTAGAGACTTTGGCAGAACAACTCCTTGAAATGGAACAAGTAATAGGTTTATTCCATGCTGAAAAAAAGAAGAAAGATTACACAACGTTTCGGCCGTGGAGCCTTCTTCAGGTGTGCAAACCCACCTGAACTACAACTCCTTGAAATGTACTTTAACCTTATTAAGGGTTTAAATCCCCTTTTCACTTTCGCCTCATCCCCCCAGTGTTGACTTCTGATGGTCCTGGCCTGTGTTCTAATGGCTCTGACAAAAGGCCTGTTCTTTAAACCTAGGCTGTAGGTCTTTGTCTCTGGGTGGTGTTATGTGTCTGATAAAGAGGAGATTACCCCACTCCTCACTGAGGGAGTGAAAGTTATCGCCTCGGAGAATGATGTCTGGCCAGTACTGCAGCAATAAATGCGTGCGGACTAGTGCGGGGGAGGGGGGTCAATGTGCATTAGTGCACGTTCAGAAAGAATGAACGTATTGTGTAGAAAAGAAGGCAGCTCTGCAGAGCACACAGCGTGACAGGGAGAATGAAATCTATTCTTTCATGATAAGTCTTAATAGATGCTGTTTTCATTTAGTTCATTTTTGCTTGTAGCTGGAAGAAGAGAGACAGTGAAGGACACTTCAGAACTGCACTCTGTATGTGGACTTTATTGACCCCAGACTTCAAGGTCTTAGTCACAAACAGGTCCGGCTTTATCAGTTTAGCCTTAGCAAAATAATTTTAGACTTTCAAAAAAAGTGATACAGAAACCTGAAACTACTGAAAATCTCATATGAAAAATGTTCCCAGGCGACTGAAAACAGAGACTTGAAAAAGGCCTTTTCTATTTTCAGAACTGCTTTGCATGGCAAAATGGTTCCTCACATATGTGGGTGGACATACAAGTTAAGAATGCCTTTTTCTTTAGCATGCCACACAAGGGTGAAACTGGGGCTACTATACAAAACTGGGCTTCATGGCCAACTGGACAGAAGGACCAGGCACAGTTCAACAGTTCCCTTTCACATCAGTCATCGTTTTTAATCCTCTGGATGTTGGCCCTTTTCCCCAGATCTTTAAAGTTTTCAAAGTTTTGTTTTCCAGATGAAGTTTATCAACTTATAAAGTGTCATTATGTATTGGTACATTACGGTCCTGCCTTTTTTTATTCTTATTACTGAAAAGAATTCTTGCAGTACAGGCAGAATTATTTTTATTTACCTCCTATAATTTTCCTACATACCTTGCTAGTTCTAGACTGAAATTAAAATTCAAGTTTTATTGGGATGAATGATGAATTACGGCTGTGGCTGTCACCGGACATCGAGTACTGTACTGCCAACTCTGAGTCCCCCCTTGCCCTGTCAGATTGGAAGCAGTTCTGATTCTTGCGGGATTGCGAATTCTGGGGTTTTGTTTATTTTAGGAAATAATTCTAATCGTAAAGTGCATTTCTTTCTCTGTTTCTCCCTGCTGGAACTGGGATCCCAGCCTGTCCCCTCTGAACAAGCAGATTTGCCTCTGTCTTTCTGTTTCCTCAGCCAGGCTGGGGTTGGTCACTGAGCCTGTGCGTTGTAAGGGTCAGCTTCTCACCCTGTTGAGATACTTGGCCAACGTGCTTTATCTTTAGGTTGTCGTAGCTTTCTGGTTCGTGTTGTGTGCGAGTCCCAGTAGGTGAGGGTATATTTGACTTGTGCTGTGTTTTGGGTGACCCTGATTTATGGTATTTTAACAGTGTTGTCCTGAGTCTGGCTGTTGTCAGGCTGGCTCTGGGCAGTGAGCTCTTGTCTTGGTAAAGATCTTGGCTCAGTCAGGCCTTGTCACTGATTGTTAGACATAGCCTATATTATGTTTTGTTCTATGTATTGTTAAGCAGTGGGTATTGGCCTAATTCGACCCTGGAGGTATTGTTTTATGATTTTCTCAGTGCATAAAGAATGTTTTACAATCCTCTGTGAGTGGGGATTCTATGGGGTGATTGTCACATTTTGTGTAATCCTGGTCAGCCATTGGGCCCCACACTTCACTGTCATACAGTGCAGTAGGTTGGATTGCACTTTCAAGATACTTTCTGGTCCTGCAACATCCATGGTCCTGTATGATTTTAGTTTGCTGAATATCTGCTTATCATGACAAATTTCCAAAGTTCTGTAAAGTTTGTTTCTAGATCCTTGTCTTGGATCTAAATACTAGCTCTTTATTCTATGCTGGTGTCTTCTAAGCCACCCACAGGCAGAAGAAGTGTTGTAGAAGTGGCAATACTGCTATGTTTAAGCATCTGTTATTATGGCTTCATTAAAAAGGTGGAATTGGAAAAAGGAGCATGGGTAAAAGTTTAATCCATCTGCCATGTAGGGTCATCCACAGTGTATTGTATGAATTTAGAAGTTCTTTTTGCCAAACGTAGAAAGTATGATTGTTTTGGGGATGGTGAAGGAAGGGAAAAGCTCTCTTTCATGTAGGTGATGCACTCATACACTGGTTGAGGTTCATCTTAACATTAGTTTTTCACGCAAGATACAAACATATTTCACAGGGAACGTAGCCTGCAGCATGAGTGAGACTTTGCAAGCAATGTTTCAGAAATATAAAAGCAGAGATGTCATTAGAGTTTGTGCTGTGATGGGACAGTGAAGATGTACAGTCATGCATGATTATTAAGCATTGTTGCAGGTGTTCTTTTGTTATGTTTACTTGCCCAGCAGAAATAAAAATAGAGATTCACTCTCTACAATATTGTCCTTCCATGGTTCAGTCCTTAAGCTCCAATCCATTATTTCTTCACACATCAAGTGCAACAGAAAAAGATTTTTAAAATGATTAACTCACACTGTGCCAAGCCTTTTTTCTAGTTTGTTGTGGCTATAAGAATAAGTGGTGGTGATGGTGGGAAGTGGTGGGATCTCTAACGTGCTCTTTAAATGGAGAGAAAAAAGCAGCCTGTACAGATTTATTGAACCCGAGGAGACTAACGGTAATGTGACAGCTCAGAGTTCTCCAGGAAGTGACAGTTTGCAGTTTCTCAGGTGGCGGTTCTCAGGTTCTTTCTTAGTTGTGTACAGGTACATTCTAAAATCAGGGGCTCATGCTAGGTCCTAGCTCAATGAGCATTTAAAGAAATGACCTGAGTGAACACCAGTGACTGAGCATATTTTATTAATGTTTTCTTTGTAAATGTATGAACAGCTTCACTTTAAAAGTTGTGAGGTTGTGCATTGATGGGTCTGGAGTGTGCCTAGAGCTGGGGAGTGGAAGAGGTGATGAATGACCTTTTTTCCCCTTTACGCAAATGTGGGACATAGAGACACATTAAGAGCAGTTTTACCCTGTATGAAAGGCTCTATGATGCTCGTGGCTTTCTGGGTTTCTAAAGCAATTAGTTGTGCTTCCCTGTGGATAGGCTGCTCAGCAACCAGGAAAGTTAATTGGGAAAAACACTTAAGTGGTTTTTAACAAGCTCTGTGGTTAGCTTCGTTAAACAAGCTCCTCTAATGAGCACCTGTCAGCAGCTGGGTGATTTTTTATTTTTCTCTTTTCTTTCTCTTTTCTACAGTCATCAATGCAGGGATGCGAAAGTTCTTCTTGCAAGCCAACGATCAGCAGGACCTGGTGGAGTGGGTGAATGTTCTGAACAAAGCCACTAAAATCACGGTGAGTGTTTGCACAGGGAATCTTCTTTGCATCACATGCTAAGAGATGTTCAGGGCTAAGAAACTGACAGGAATATTTGGACTCAATGCTGTTGCTATTACTGTGGTTTGTGTCTCTCCCATCCCTATCTTTTGTTTTTTACTAGGCATAGCTCTGGTTTTGAAAGGCATATTCCAGTGTTACCTCTGCATCATACACAAGCCTTCCCACTTCCTGTGCAGGACCACCCTTGAATCTAGAGCAGCCAGGAAACTCTGATGCTCTGAAACCTATTGCATCATTGTTATGTTTATGTCACTGTCTGCACACACCTCCCCCTTCTCCAGTCCATGTTATTTTTTCAGACAGGTCCTCCCTTGTTAGCCGGGCTGTGTCCATGTAATCAATTTCTCTAACATTAACAGATCACTTATGTCCAGAGTGTGATGGAAGCCGAGAGAGCTACAGAAGCCCATTGATCTGCTGGGCAGTAAGCACTGTAACAAGCCCCAGAGGCACCATGGCACTGAGAGACCTACTACTGTTATACAATCCACTGAAGCTCAGGACACTGATGTGCAATGCTATCAGTCAATGAGGCTATAAATAGAAGACAATCCAGGGCTTCCACAGTGAAAAAGATGCACAACATATTGCAAAGAATAGACAGACTGTTTTTTCAGCTGCTTGCCCACTCTTCCTTTTAGGCCACAGCAGCAGTAGCTCTCTCCCTCCAAGCCTGGGTCCTCCTCTCTGCTCCCCCAGATAATCGCTATTGCTCAGACAGGAGCACAGAGTGTAAGCCACTCCGAGGTCAAAGACAAATGCGTCTGCTGTGTTAAAATATTTGTTCTCAATTCAAATAAAATGCCACCGACAACTGAGATTTCAGTCTGTAATCACAAATGACAATGACACAGATGTTTTGTCAGATTTTGTACAGATTTCAGTATCACCCATGGTTGTCATAATGTGATATAATTTCTGTTTATTGTGAGGCTTCATCCTTTACAGGAAAAATCAGTTTATCCAATTTCTCTTATTTTCTGAACAGGAATTTCTTTAAATTTAAAATGAGCATCATTTACTGGATCGTTTGGAGCTGTGAGCCAGCTTGTGACTCATTATTCTTTATTATGCTATTTTCTTTGTGGTGTGATTATAATTTGGTTAAGGAACTGAAGTGCATTGGAATTGAGTCCCACTGTTCCAGTATGAACTGTTGGTGTAGACGGGTGGCCCTGGATGCCTCAGACAGGTTAGCTAGCTAAAGCAGGGAGCGTGATGGAGGCATTCTCTGGGCTGTGTAGGTGAAGGAGCAGAGAATACAATATTCACACAAATCAAAATATACAGGAAGAACAGCCTTCTCCCATTTGTAGGTGTTCTTGCGTTCACACTGCAAGAGATGTTATCTTATGGTTTCTTGCCTAGAGTACTCTTCTATTGAGCATCCACATCTAATCCACTCTCTACAGAAAAGGACCTTGCCTTTGCATGGCGAGTTTGGAGGTCTTTCTCCAGCTTGAGAAAACCCATATCTGTTGGCATGGCCTTGCTGGTGCCCTGTGTTACACATGCAGTTTGTAATGCAGAGAGACAGAAAAGGCACACTTACAGATAAATAAGGTTGTTTACATACCTCTCTTAGAGTCTGTTCACTCTTCCCCCATTGGCTTTAATAGCTGTGCATAAAGCAACGTTTTTTTTCTCCCAGTCACTTATTTCCTTCCACAGACTCTGTTCAACCCCCTCGAGACTCTTGGAAGGAGTGATTTTCTATGCTTTCCCACACACAACTTAAAGTTCTCTGCATTCTTTCCATTGTGCCACCTGTGGGAAACTTTATGAAGTCTCTCAATTTCAATTTTTTGGTAAACTTTAGGAAAGTGTGGCTTTTGGTTGTGCAGTGTCTAGTCACTTGTCTTAGTTTTGATCTGAATGAAAGAACAGTTGCCAGACAGAGGTTTCATGACCTGACCTGTACTCTTTCAGGCTTTTTTTGGAACCAACTGATTCTTTCTGTCACAGGTGCCAAAACCATCTGATGTGCAACAAAACTCAGAAAACCAAAAAAGCACCATAGAGGGTGTTGGTGCCAAAAAGCAGGTCTCCTACAAAACGGAGATCATCGGGGGAGTACCCATTATAACCCAGACACAGGTAAGTTGAGTACACCAATTTGAACATAAGATTTTCATTATTAGTTAATTTAATCTCATTAGACTTGTGAAATTTGTCATCTTGTTTAAAATAAAGCAATAACATTAGTTAAGTTTTAACTTTTTATTTTATTAAACGGTTTTAAATTTAATGCAATTAAAAATATACTTTACAACACTGAATACAATGTATATAGCTTTGCTGCATTAAAGGTTTATAAAAATATTTCACTCAGCTTTTTCTGTAGGCTCGTAATTAAAGTTCCTCCTTGTTTCGCTATAAGGTGTTGAGTACTGTATATAGGATACATCAGTGTTACAACTAAACAAAATCAAAGCGTCATTGTGTAAGTAGACCTTTGCAAATGAAGAAACTGACCTTTCTGCAGGAATATGCAAAATAACCCATTGAGCCATGTTATGAGTATGAAAATGAAGAGAGCTTATCAGGTTCAGAGAGATTATCTGTAGGAGGACATTTATCCTGCCTTTTTATCCTTGTTCAATTCTAAGCAGTCCAGTTCTAAAGAGGATCAGGTGTGTGTTATTCTCCTAAATGTGTAATATGTATTTCTTCCTATAAAGGCTGCTTGCAGACTATATTCAATGGTCTTGCACTTTGGCAGGATGCAGACGAGTTAAGAGCTGCAACTGGGCGATTAAACCAAATCAAAGGTTTAATAGCCAAAGTTCTATGACCAGTGTATCGCTCAGACTTTTCTATTTCTTTTTAAATGTTGTACTAAACACTGCTGTAAACTAATAACTTTAAAAGGCCATTTTAAAACAATTCTAATGTTCAGAACTATGAAAATATCAAATCCATATTATAGAATGACTGTACCCTTGAGGTTTTTATGGCAATTATAGCAAAAATAATGGGGTGCCGTTAGAGAGGTGAAAAGATATATTAATTTTCACTTTAGTCCCTTACCTTGGTGTGCTGGGAATATTTAGCCGATCTGTCCTGAAACCATCTCAGCAAGTGGGCACTGAGTATTGGAGCCTTAGTTTGTGTGCATGCATTCAGATGTTCATTGTTTCAAAGGGACAGCTAAGCAAATTGTTTCCCAAAATAATTTACATAATACTAATACCAAAGAGACTACACAACCAACATTCCTGCTTTCCAGGAGTCTGAAGGTATATTTACTTTGGTGTTATACATTTTAACTTTTGGTCAGTTAGTTTTTTTCATGTGGATAGTATGCTCTGCTTGTTAAACAAGTATTTAAATTCATATTCTTCTGTGTCCTGTGTGCAATTTTTGTACAACTTGCTTAAATAAAAATCACATAGCGTTAATTAACTATTCCTAAATAATCTGTTTTTCAGTCTGTGAGATTTGACTTCATCATGGATATTAGCTTCTCTAAGGGGTTTGGGCTGCACATGTCATTTCTTTGAGCGCCCTGACAGATGTTAATCAGCTGTGTTAACAGGGCTGTTGGCATGTAGCCCATGTGGCAGACAACTCTTTGGCTCAGACTGTAGCTGTTTGTGTCTCAGTTTGTGTCTTTTGAAATTGAGGCTCATCTGTGCTTCTCTTGTTCCTTACTGTTTCTCTACTCTTTAAGTAAGACTTGTGTGCCTTTACCAGATGTTGGCTTATGTATGTGTTCCCCACTACAGCAGGAGGGAGGCGATGGTCAAAATGGAGCAGACAGGGGTGGATTGAAGAGGTCCCACAGCCAGCTGCCCTACTACTTGGGAAGGCCAGCTCAGGACCAGGCTGTGATCAAGGCTGGCTACTGTGTCAAACAGGGGGCTGTGGTGAGTTGACTCCGGGCCCATCTTCACGTTCCTGCTACTGTGATGCTAAAATGACATAAAGATATGGATACAGTTCAAGTTGTTACTGCTAACTAATGCTTACTCAAGCTGGGATAAGCAAAAGGTGTGACATTTCTTTTTATGTGTTTCTATTATCTGTACCTTCAGATGAAGAACTGGAAAAGAAGATATTTCCTTCTAGATGAAAATTCAGTGAGCTACTTCAAATCAGACTTGGTAGGTTTATATTTGTTTTTCTGTGAAATCCTTTTAAAGGCAAAGAAAGAGGAAAAGGGAGAGATGATCATTTTAAAGTTACTTCCTTGAGGTATTTGTAACAGTGCCCCCAAAATATCAGAATTCAGACCGTTTACTTGCTGTGGAAAAAATACTGGTAGGCCATCATCAGACAAAGAGGAGACCTTAGCTAATGTATTGCAGGAACATCTCTTGTAGTACTTTTTACAGGTTCTCTGGAAAGAGCTGGCATGGTTTCAAGACTATTTTAGTATTCCTGATTGCTCAACCTTTGTCCAGATTGTTTAGAATAGCTTCAAACTCCCCAGAGTTTCTTATACATTTGGTATAAGGGTTAAAATTACATATCTTGCTCTGAAAATTAAATGCGTTCCTCCATTATCTGCATGAAATCTTTCCGCCTTAGATGTGAAACCCCTCTGCCCTGCACCTTTAGCTGTACTTCAGTGGACAATTGGCTAGCAAATGTATGCTTGTGATCCTCAGGTTTGCAAGAAACAAGTCTCGACAGGGATAACCTCTCTCCTCTGCTCTCTCTCTGCACACCCCCTTGCATTAAACACAGATCATTTAAAATAAGAGCATTTCTAACAATACACAGTGCATTTTTACAGCATAATTTGACGACATGCATGTTTGGGTAGGAAAAACATTCCTTATCAACTCTGAAACCTGGCTTTCTTGCCATGTTTTTTGTTTTTGAACTTGTGGTTTTTCCTGACTATTTTTTATTTCACTTTTACATGGATGCTGTCAACATGCCAGGACACCACAGAAAACCTTAGCCTATTAAACGACTAAGACCTACTCCAAAGCACCATAAATTCATGCTTAATTTGGAGATTAATGGCCAAATTGTTCCCTTTACATTATAATCTCAATTTTTCTGTTTCCGGAGTTCACATTTAAAATTCTGACACTGATAGTTACGACTTAAAAATAATCTTATTGAGATGTTAATTGCAAGGTCTGCTGCTGTTTTAGGTCGTTTCCATTTGTGGTAATATAAAGAGTCTTTTAACAGTCCAAATACATCAGTTTATCACACTGTCTTGTGGTTAGGTGTCATTAAAAGTAATGTACATCTTTGATCATGTTTTTATCAGTATCCATAATGTATAGTAAATTTCTGTCTGTGCAACTGTGTGAAATGTGCATTGTCCCTCTAGACGTCAGTGTACAATAATGCATAAAAGGCAATGGCTTGCTCATTTTCTTGTGATAGTAATATGTAGCACCTATTAAGCCATTCAGTCTCATCTGACAGTTAATCTATTTTAACAGATCAGTATTCATTTTAATCAATAAATGTTAGTATCCAATATTTTAAAAGATGGTGAATATCGAATTGTCCTTTTAAAGAACTTTTTCAGGGAAAAGTTGTCAGTAACTTTGATCCCTTGAAGTTCAGTATACTGTTTTGATCAGATCTTTTAAAATGTGATGTTGAACCACTTTCTGATGCCAAGGAAAATCCTTCCCTCCTATGAAGTGCTGTTATTAGTGTGTGAAGCTTGTTTTTGTTTCACCCTGCACAGAGCTTGAAATCTTATAGTAAAATGAATGGCTTCTTCTATTTGTCTGGATGCATCAAGCTGAAAGCTGATATGCTCACAGCACTGTTTCAACATGCTGGGAGATGTGCCATGAAATTCCGTTCATTGTTGGGTTTTTTTTCGTGTGTGATGAAAACTTCACATGTTGTGGCATGTTCGTGCCAGAGACACCCCTTTGTTAAGCCCTTCAATAGTTCTGAGGGTCTGCTGTTTTGAGAGTTCCAATTATGTTTCTTTTTGGGATAAAAGAGTATGTCTTAACTAGTGAAAATAAAGCAAATGAGTTAATGCAGGTGTAATTGAGGGCAGAAGATGTCTTTTTTGTTATTGTCCCAAGTTAACGTGAAAGTTACTTTATGAGAAACTTTTGAAAGGCCAGCATGGTGGCACATGATTAGCACACCTCACAGCTCCTTGTACCAGAGACTGGCTTGTGGTGTCTTCTGTGTGGAGTTTGCATGCTCTGCTTGGTTTTCTCCAGGTGTTTCCATTTGTTCCCACTGCAAACTAGATACATATGAGTTACTTGATTTTTAAATTGTCCACATGATGGGCTGTTGTCCCATCCGGGGTGCAGTCCAACCTTGTGCCCTGTGCTTTCAAGATAAGCTCTGGGGTGCTCTGACCCTGACCAGGGGTAAACATCCTTCTGATAAAAGATGGATGGAGTGGCTTTGGAAAAGGAAGCTGAAATATAACAAGGGAGAGAGAGGATGGAATAGGCAGATAATATTAATTCAACCATAATCTGGCCAAATTTGATTTCATCCCTCTTTGATGCCTAGAGTTTCTTTTTGTTCTGTTACTGTTAAAATATTTTTTGGATTCGGCCTAACCCTCAGATACTTATTACCAATACTCCTTTGAGATGCAGAACTTGCAACTCATTTACCAAATAATTTATTCTAGCAAAGGTCACTCATTGCTAATAATAACATACTAGGTTTTTTGTATCTAAAATTAATTTCATGTTCTTTGGATCTTTTATCGACAAAACACTGTAGGTTCGAGAACTATAAATAACAAAGTGAGACATCTTCAGCACCCGCTCCTCCCTAATCTTGTTTCTTGCAGCCCTGGTATTAGTGTCAGATAGAGGGCAGATTAATTGCTGGTACCATAAAAAGAAAAGAAAATTAGTACCCAGGAAGTCTGCGACACTGCAACTCTTTTCACTTCCACCCACACACTTCTGACACGCTGCCATCTTGTGTGTGTGTAAAGGGAGTGGGTCTTGTCATTTCTCAATTATCAAGTGCAGTGATAATAAAAATGTTTTTTGGAATTAATTTTCATGTTGAAGGTTTTTAGACCTAGAGGACTGTAGGAGAATGTGTTACATCCTACAGCAAATAAACTTTTGCAGATTTAGGCATTTCTTTATATTTCAGAAGATTGAAGGATTAATATACTTTCTACACACATTACTATTTCTGAAGATACTGTCCCAGCCAGCCCGAAGACTGACCATCTGGTTGAACTTGTGATATTCTTTATATATTTGTTTATTATTAAATATTTGTAGTATTTAGGATGTAGTTGTTCAGGTACTTAGACCTGGCTAAAACCTTTAAATTCTGCCGTGCTGCTGGATGGGGGCCTGTTGTTAGGAGGTCGAAGAGCTGGGATAAAGCCGTCGCACCAGCTTGTCTGCGGTTTAATGAAACAAGATGCTGTTTACAGTCAGGCAGCATCTACCTCTAGTGTCAGCACAAAACCCCACAAAGAGATGTGCAGATCAGCCCCTATTTTTAGTCCCTCATGTGGGTGAATGTAAACAGCTCTCAAGGACGTGCGCTTCACTGTGTATTGTACCTTGTGAATTGACAAAAACGCTCCACTAAAGTTGATTAAAAACTTATGCTGATTTCTAGGTAATCGTTTTCCTCAATTACGTTGAAGGTGTGCATTATAAAGAATTCTTATTTTGTTACAAAAAAGATTCATTGTCTATTTTAAGTTTCAAATACTCATTTAATTGCTTTTTTGTAGAAACATACTGGAAATGAGGTATTTCTTTTTAACTGCAGTCTTGTAGCCGATCTGTAGTATTATAGCCTTCTTTGCAGGTAAAGACCACAGCTCAGCAACCCCTTTTTACAAGGCCTAGATCCTTCTGTGTGCTTCAGGGGTCTGAATCAGTGTTAAGGGGGTCAGGGTGCTGTAGATGTCTGACTTTCCTCTCTCTCCTTCAGGACAAGGAGCCCCTGCGCATGATCCCTCTGAAGGAGGTGCACAAAGTGCAGGAGTGCAAGCAGAGGTGAGTGTCTGTACTGTTCCTGCAAAGGCTGTGCACTTCACTCCTGCACCTGCTCCTTTCCTGTATGAGGGAGGGATGCATCTTGGAAAAAGTAGAAATGCTGAGAATAATGAGGGGGATCTGGTGGTATGTGTGGAAGTTACTTTTTCTGACAAAACCAAAAACATTGCTGTTCTGCCTAAAAATGCACTTTTACACTGTATATAGATACTTAGAGGAACTGTATTTTGATGCTTATAAACTTTTGTTTTTTTAGTGACATAATGATGAGAGACAATCTGTTTGAAGTTGTTACTACTTCTCGAACTTTTTATATTCAGGTAAGAAATGGAGAAAACAAAGCACCTGGATTGTCTTTGTAAAATCGGAAAATGTTCTGTCTTTTGAGAGACACCGATTCATTTCCAGAATGAATGAATGTGGATATTTATACATCTTTACAGTACTTTTCCTGATACATTTCGTAAACGCCCTCCTCTAAAACTCTTGCCTGCCTGTGTCTTGCTTGTATCTGAATCCCCCGACCTACAGGCGGACAGTCCAGAGGATATGCACAGCTGGATCAAGGCAATCTCGGGGGCCATCGTAGCGCAGCGGGGCCCAGGGCGGTCGGCGGCAACCGTACGTATCGCTCTCCTGAGCCGAGCCCCGGTTCTCTGGCTCAGGGGATAAAGAGGCAGGGGGCACACAGACCAAAGGAGCTCCCTGTTACTGTTACTGTCACTCATCACGTTGCCTGGTCTGCAGCTGCAGTCTGTGTGTGTGTAGACGTATGACCTCTGTCAGCTCACTTCAGAATTTGTACTTCTGGAATGGTTTTAATACGGTGCCACTTTTCACTGCCGTGTGTTTTTTGTGTAAACAATTCAGGGATGCAAAGGTGTTTTTATACGTCCTCATCCACTGTTTGCATGTATGGTTATATATTTTATGAATGTACCTTTCGGAAGTACATATAAAATATATACTGTTCCTAGGCATGCAGACACAGTCATTGGTGGAGGGTGCAGCAGACTGCTTTCAGGTAGTAGGAGCCAGTCTCTCAGTGCATGAGAATGCATGAGAACCTGGGCCACCTGGAGGAGGTTGTCGGCGAGGCTCTTCTCCCAGGATCGATCAGTCTAGAAGCCTGCTGCTTGTTGAGGGAATCGGAGCACATGCAAGCCAGCCAGCTTCTCTCTGTCACTCTCTTTCTCTTGACTATTTTCTCTCGGCTTGGACGGCTCTCCTCAGTCTCCTCTAATTTTAGCTTTGCAATGTGTTGTTGCAGATGCGGCAGGCCAGACGGCTGTCGAACCCTTGTATACAGAGGTATACATCCCGAAACGGTGAATGCAGCACGTATGTGAGCTCTCGTGTCAGAAATGGCTTCTACATATTTTTTTTCTTTTGATGCGTAGATTGAATTTAAAAACACGCACACACACACAAGCGGAATAGAGTTTTAAGGCTTCCTGCTGACAAAGCAAATAAAAAAAACCCTCATCTTTAATCTCTGCCCCACCCCCTGCCCTCCTGCTCCCTCACCCCATCCATCGTCAACCAACCCATTCTGACATCACTTGATAACCACAGGCTGCACCAATCAGTCAGACTAACGTACCCCTTTTTCCAGCTCCCTGGGATTTTGCCTTTTTTGAGCAGCTTAAACCTCCTGGTTTTTGGTGTCCTTCTCAGTGACCTTGTAAGCCAGCTGATGTTAAAGCCCCAGCCCTGAGATAAGGGTTGTGCTTTGTTTTGACCTACAGTCTCCCCCGAACAGGATGTACTTTTTTTTCCCCCACCAGGAAATATTCGACTTCAGTGCCCAGTATATGTTTCTGTATGTCTGAAAGGGAGTTTTTACAATAACAGATTCCTTGTACGTTTTAATGCCTCAACAGGCTCACCATGGTACAGGAGACTTTAGATGTGCCACTCATCTCCCGTTTTTATGCTTTTGTTCACTTTTCTAATTCAATTTTTTGTTTTAAATGTAACGACGTTTTGAAGGTGCTTCATAGTAGGTGCACAGCAGCTATTGCAGGAAGAAGTGATTTTGTTGTGCTTGTAGAAAAGAAGAGACTGGCACTAGTTCTGCAAATCATGATCAAAAACATCCCAGATACCACTGCAAGTTACTTTTTATACATGATGTTATGAAAGCCAACACAACACATAGCACAGCCCTGAAACTAACCCCTTCATCACTATTTCTGCTCACCCTGTGACCATCCAGCATGAGAAGGCTTCATGTACTGGGTGCCAGCTTTGCTCCCAGCTTCTAGCTCCTTGCCGACTGCTGCTTTGCTGACCAATAGAGATGCAAAGTAACTTCTGAACTCCTTTGTCCATCTCCTATGCATGGCTGTTAACCAGAGTTTGTAATCTGCATGCATGGTGCTCAGTAAGTCTGGAGCATGGGGCAGGGGTTGTAACTCTAAAGGATTAGTAGATTATGAATAAAGTTGACAACTGATTTTTTTTTCTTTTTGTTCGTGAGTAATGATCAAGATTGACTGCCCATTATTTGTGCTGCTGAATCAAAAGCAGCTACAAATTTGTGTTCTGAGGAGGAAAGATAAAGGAGCAAGATTTCTAAAAAATAGTTTTTTAGGGTCAGGAATGAGGAAACCAATCCCTAAAAACCTTTTCAAATCCTAGAATTTCAGGATTTGTTTTGGTGTCCCGGATTATGATTGGGATGGTATTGTTCTCTTTATAATTGCTGCTGGTGTACAGCAGCATCAAGGTCTTGAGGGTGTTCAATGAATGGGTTCTTAATAAGTAGAAGCAACCATACAGTCATTGTGTAATGTAGCTGCTAAATATGAATAAATACATAGACGTGACTGCTTTCACTTGTACCACAGACTACCACAGCCATTAACCAATTTAATTACACTTTCCCACCTCCAGAATGGAAAGTAAAATAATGCTAACAGTAGTGACAGTGCATGATACTTTATACATAATACAGGTAGCATTGGGCTTTACTTGAAATACTGTTATAGAATTCATAAAACAGGTGGAAAGGTGGGTGAAATGAGTGGGTTTGTATATTTTAGTAAAATAAAATTGGACTTTTGTAGATTTCTTATCCTTTATTGTATTTAAGGATTACAAAACCAGTGTGCACTTTCATCAATTTAATTTAAAAATTGTCTAAAATTTGCACAATTTTGTCCAAATGCCAGTGTTTTATACTTTATTTTATATGTATACCACTGAGCTAGATGGGCAGAGTGCCCTGTATTTTGTAGCACTTCTAATAGTCATTCTATAGACTCACTAAACACGGCATAGTGGCTTCCAAAGTGACATCTATCATGCCACAACATAAAACATAAGTTTAGCAAGATCCTATTTTTTTACCAGTACTGAGTACTAAATATAAAATCTTTTATTTAACCTTTAAACAATGTGGATTGACAAGAATTTTGAAGGCAGAATGTTTGATACAATTTGCAACAATCGACAGTGTGAAGATAACTTTCAATTCAGCTGAACATATGTGATACTGTAGCTCTATTGCAGTGCCCATTACAGCTTTTTTTCACATTATCAGTTCAAATTGGACAACTTTAAATGAAACCTTGGCATTTATGTGGGCAGGGACATTTTTTAAAGAATTGTATAAAAATAAATAGATAAAGATCTGGTAAATAAGATTGGCCGGATAGGACATTCATTTTTACATGCATTCCCTTCCGGAGCAGGATATTTTTTTGACGAAATTTCACACAGACTAGCCGTTGAGACTCCCTGAGCTAGTGGGACTTTGTACTTTCAGTCCCTGGATTTTGATACTGAAAAAGGGTGCAGGATCCTGGACAGGAGGGGAAGGCACAGCACGCTGGCTAGAAACCTGGGCCTTTTGACACAGGACTTTACTGGAGAGTTTGTTTTTACTATTAGTGATCATGCACCTAGTGAGAGAATCTAACCTGTACCATGTTTATTTATTCTTTTGTCCCTAGGAAAATAAAGTTGATGTACCTTCTTTGGAAGGGTTTTCAATGAACTGCATGCCCTTTTTTGTTTGATATATTGCTGGTGTTTTTGTGCCTTCCTAGCAGGAGCAGACTACAGAAAATGGATTATGCTTATTGTAACTTCATCATGGGAATCATCTTTATCACATTTTTTCATTTGACAAAAGCCTTTTTGAATGTGAATGTCAGTATTTTGCATGGCTCCCTGCCTTCATGTCCTTCCTTATTTACTTCACATCACGCTGCCTCTTTGAAAACATTTGTAAAAGCGTTAACCTTTTACCTCCAAGGCAGCTATCCTGTCTTTGACCAGTCTTTTGTACGCTGTCTGCTTTTCATTTCATTGTTTTCTCTGCAGTGTGTTGCATGGTTCCCTTCTCTGGCAAGAAATCGAGCATTTCTCATGTGCTGTGCTGAATGTGACCTTGTGAATAACAGTTGAGGTCTTTCAGTGAGTGATGGGCAAGGCAGTTGTCAGATGCTTGGGATAGAGAGATTTGTTGGTAATTAGGTCATTCATTGTGTATTGGGATGTACTGTGAGATCTATTGGTTCTGATTATGTGATTCTAGAAATCTAATTTTTATTTCTTAAGATAACTTTGTTCTTCAGAGTTTGATAACTTAAGAAAGATTAAGCTACAAGACCTAGTGAACTCTGGTTTTTCTACCACATACCATAAATTGATAAAGCTGGAAAAAACTTGGTCTGGACTGATTCTTCTTGCTGCACCAAGAGCTCTTTGTGCACAAGCAGAGCAGGGTCCACTGTGTGAAGAGAAAGCAAGCAGAATATTTGTCCCTTTGGAATTCATACAGGTCAAGTCAGGCTCTAGCTAGGCAGGGTCAAAAAGTAAGCTAAGCATAGTCTCTTACAGTGAGGTAGGAGGGGAAAAATACTCAGGTGTCATCATCAGGTTTGTTACTTATTTTTAAATAAACTGAAGATTTTTACTATTTTTTTTACAGGAAGTTGAACAATGTAGTGTTTTATACCTGCTCCGGCAATATCTGATTTTTAATTTGCTATACTAAGAAAGGTTTTAGAACTTTTGTGGTCTTGTCTCTGGTTTCCTCTTAACATTTAATCACTAACCTGAAACTAATTGCTTTTGAGGGTGAAGATTTGGTGATTAAGTGTTAGAGGCACCTGTCAAGATCAAGGACATTTTTTTAACACTTAACATCAAACTCTATCGGTTCTGTCGACTAAATTTCTTTCACTCTGATTAAAAAGTGAATGTTGCCCTTGTTGACAGGCGGTGATATTATTTAACATGCAGTATTCAATGGCATACAACACCTGAAGATTCATTATTTGCTGGCGGCTGTGCCCTGCTGCTGCTCACTGTTCCTCGCACTCTAACCCTGTGCTGAATACCGATGCTTGGTGACCGAATGATGCATTGCTTTGCTGGAGCAGAGCATGTCTCTTTATTTTGGTCCCTGTGTGCTCATGCTTTTGCCTTGTCTTTTTCTCTCTCTCTCTCTCCCTTTTTGTTTTTCAGAGAGTAAAATCTGACACTGAAATACTAACATTCCAAAAATGAGTACTACCACTGCTACTGCTACCACTTCTGCTACAGCTGCTGCTGCTACAGTGCGATGATTAAGTGCTGTGCTCAAGTGTCTCACTGACTGTATTTCTGTGTCTGTGCCGGGCACACCCTACTCTTTGCAGGAGCACAGTGACCGTCCCACACCCTCAACCTTCTACTGCAGCGACCAGGGCCCGCCCGTCCCTCGCTCGCCCCTCTTTGCAACGCCAGCCTACCTACAGTCCTCTGTTCCCGAGCCCCGCAGCACCTCGACCCCACACCCTGTCCACTCACAGCCTGGCCTGGGAGAACGAGGACTTCATGAGCCTGCTGCCCAGACCCAGCCTGCAGAGGGCCAGCCGCTCCAGGCTGTCGCTGCAGGAGACACGGCTGTCCAAGTGAGGGACGCCTCCCGCTGGAGATCCCGAAGGCCTAGTAGCGGCAGCAGTGACGACGCCCCTCTGGAAGCTCTGGGTATTGATGATACTAACCTGCCGGTCAGCGAGGTCTGACCTCTATCTCTTGCAACCCTGGGTATGGCAGTGGGCAACAGGTGTGGGAGATATGATTAGCTCCAACAAAAGGGTCCAGTGCCAGTTTGCTTGGACTGGAAACTGAGCAGAAGAAAGAAGACCTTTAGGCTTGGGAATGGAGGACATGGACTGGACTAGCTGGGACAACAAGGCAGTAACACACAAAGATTTACTGAACCCATTTTCTTTTTGTATTTGTTTCTTAATCTGCATCCACTTTTCATCTTTAATGAAACACGAGAATTTAAGTTATAAGCTGTTCTTAAAGGTTAAATGTGAGCTTGAGGAGAGAAAGCCCTGCAATGCCCAACCCTGCCAGAAGAGGGCAACATGGGAGACCAAGCTGAATCTTGCACAGACACCCAGGGGAAGTTATTGTTCACTTAAGTCTCCCGTACCAGATACTCTTACTCTAGGGTAGGGGCACAAAGCTAAAAGGTTACCTAAGAGAGCAGCCACACAGAAGAAAGCTTTCATACTTTGACCAGGTTTTGGCAGGACTTGGTTCATTTCTGCTAGAGCACTGACCTATGTCATGCTGGAGGGCAGTTTCTGACCAGGTTCCTCTTCCATATTGTGACTTTCTCCTTAGCTCTTTTCTTGAGGACTTTCCAGACCCCAGCAAGTCAGATCTAGTAACATGCTAACATTTTAACCCAAAGATGTTCTTTTTTGTAGATGCCATTTGCTTTGTTGTTGTTTTTTTTCTTGAATTGTTGGAAATTCAAAAATATTGCCACACAGAGTGGAAATACATGTTTTAGCAGTGGCTGAAAAGCTTAGTGTACCAGTGCACATAGATTTTAGTTTGAAAGCTACTACCAGTCTGTTCAATTCTGTTGGTTTTGTGTACAGCAGTGACATTAGGTTATGTGCCCCATGTTCAATACTTCAAAGGGAAAAAGGTAATGAAATAAAACATTATGTGGAATAGTGCATTGTAATTTCACTTGGATTCTTCAGAACTTTAGAATCTGCCCTTTAAATTCAAAATTGTTCTTCAGTTTTGCCGAGTTTTGAGATCCGCAACACCCTAAAAACTGGGGCTTCAGTTGACAGTAGGTTACATACCTATCATATGGCTCCCTAAAAATGACAGGAGACAAGAGGCTGAGAATGATTTTGTCAAATCATTGGCTCTTTATAGGTTTGCTACAGTACTCATGCTGCAGTATGTGGCCCATTTTATGTGTTGCCTGCTGCTTGTGATAATGAGGTTTTTCTCTATAATCCCTTTTTCAGTCTCACCAAGTGCTCACAGCTGTTATTTTCTGATGGAATTTATTTTTAACTTATTTATCAATTGATTATATCTCCAAAGCCAAATTACAAGATTTTAACAAGCAACTCTGCATCTTACTTCAGAGAAATTGAGTAAATCTAATCATTAAAAAAAGTTTGTGCCCTATAGATCATTTAACAGATTTTGGTATTTTTTTTAGTCTTTTAAAAAGTATTTGTTCAGTTCAGGAGCTTGGCTTTGGATTGATTAATTCCTTGGGGCTCTTGAGAGCAGTTGTTCTCACTCTCCGTTGCAATGACACTACCAGGGACTGCAGCAATGTCCCTTTCTGTGAATGACAGCTCTACAGATGTGCCTGTCTTCAAGGCTGCTCAAACCTTGGATTTCAGTCCACCTGAGCTTTCAGTTAAGGATTGATTAACACATGACAAGATCAAACCTGCTGGATTTTGGCTCTAGGTCCAGACCTGAGGAGCTCTGCATTAGCCTGCAATAACTTGCAGTACTGTTATTATTGGCTAGGTAAAGGATGTATGTATTACTTAATAGATTCCATTTCGGATCCAGTCCAACTCTTTCATAATGCATTTTGGTTTTATTTTTGCCCTTTATTAAATAACCTCTCATATATGGTTCACTGTTTAAGAACATGATTCTTGAGAAATATGTACTGGATTGTTGTATTTTTATATACATGAATGAAACTTTTAAAATTTGTTTTAAGTATAACTCAGGTTTATAGATGCCACCGTGCAAAAATATTCACTAAAGATTAAAGCTCTAGTGCACTAACAGCAACATCAGCCTATGAATAGAGACTCACCGCTTATTTTTCCTAATGTTTTGCACTTCACCCTTTTAAAAGTGTCATCTGAGGGCTTGTTAAATGGTTAAAAGAACATGTTCCTTAATCTTTAGAAGAAAGACTGCAAGTTGCATGTAGGTGTATTACATGTGGTAAATGTTAGCCTCAGTCTAATGTATGTAGATTGTGTGGGTATATTTTCTTCTGTATTCTTTTACCAGTGCAGGTGTTTGTATGGTTTTCATCTTGTGCCTATACTGACTAATCTAATGTGGGTGACTGATCTAGCTGTATCTCTGTAGTTTCTAAACCTATGGCCTGTAATTGTGTTGCACAGATTATACTGTATAGCTGTGAAGTGCCTGCATTATTTCTATAAAAAACAAGCTATTTTGATCCTGATTTTTGAAACTTGTGTACCTGATGTTCTTAAATCATGTATTATTTATTACTTGGAGTAAAAAAGTGCTTGTGCAAAAATATTTAATGTCTTTATTTAACAGGGTAGCCAACAAAACGTGAGATAGATGCTTCATTCTTGATGTTTATATTCTTTGGGCAGTATCCTTTCACTTTGATCTCTCTAGAGTTCGAAAAAAACTTTTGGTAAGAAGGTTGTAGAGTCATATTAAAAACACAGGTCCTAAAGTTCTTGTACACTGCAGTCAATTTGGCATATTACACAACGTTTATAATGTTACATCAACACAAGCTGTGTTGGAGTTGAGAGTGGCAGTTCCTAGCAGGTGGCAGGGACAGGAGGGAGCATGACCACTGAGGTCCACCGTAGAGAGAGAACAAATATGTTGAAGTTGGAAAAAAGTTGAAGGTCATGTTGCCATTCTCTTCAGTCCACAATGAATATTGTCATCATGCAGATGAACAGCCCTGAACGGGGCTTGAAGAATCCACCACTGATTTTTAAGTCTGTCCAGAAGTTAATTACAACATATGATACATAGCTCTCCCCCTCTCCCTTTTAGTCTAGTCAGCATGGGTTGGAGATATTGGGTAATTTTCTCATTATGATTATATTGAAAGTGGAAATTGGATATGTTATTATATATAACTGCTAAATGGTATCATAAATGGTAACACAGCTCCACCTACTGGTTTTAAGTTCAGATTTTCTGTTCAAATGATTCGTTCTATAAATTTACTTATTGAATGCATTAAAGTATTCACTATTCCTCTTACCTCCACAGTTACCAGAAATACGAATTCAAATAGCAATTATGATATTTTACCATTTAGGTTTTTTATGGGTTTTGTGCATCACACTGAGAGTCTAGTGCAGAATAATCTGGAAATCATGTGGATTAGTTTTAATTAGCCCAATTACAGAGGTCTGAAAACGAACTTTTCCTGATCATTCAACTGTTTGAATCAGTTAAGTCACAAGAGGTCATCTGGAGTGAAAATCTGAAGGCACCATGACTCTTTCGGACCAGGCTTACAGACACCTGATTTACTGAGTGTCCTAATTAATTCTGAGTCCCGATTAATTCTGGACTCTGGATACATGGCTGCTTTGAGTTGTATTAGGTGACCAAAGCTTCTTCAGCAAACCTATATTTATATAAAAATACCCTAACCAATCGTCTATTCCCATTGATATTCATTCATCATGCTGGTGTATTGCAATCCGCCAGGTTTTAGTTAACTTTCAATCCTCAGTGAATAAAGACAAGGAAGCTGCTAATATTGACTAAGTGCACAACTAACGTAAGTAAAATCATTAAGAATATAAGAAAAAAAACTAGAAGACATAGTGGCCTTTTTAGGACTGGGAGGGAATATGAGTGGTCTTCCCACCAAGTTTACTTCCTAGACCGAAGGTTCCCAGCTCCTTACAGGCCTGTTCAAAATTTGCTCTACCTAGACCTGAGAAAAAGCTGAATTGCTCTAAATTAAGACCGAAATGAGTTCAACTGGACCATTAAGCATTGTGTTGGAATGAAACCCTGCAGAACTGGGTTTGGGAATTCAATACTGGGCAATCTGCTTTTCAGCCTTCAAATAAGCATCCAAGGGCCAGGCGCTTGCTTACATGCCAGGAGGTTTAGGGATAAAATGTAGGAAACCGTGTGATTGCTTCTAACACTTTTGAAATATAGTAGCTAGAATCATGAAAACATGGGAACAAATAAAGGTAAAGGGAAACGCTTATTCCATGCTGAAAAGAAAAGAGACAATGTTTTGGCTGTGGAGCCTTCTTCGTGTCTGCTTTCATGTTTCATCACTGAAACATTGCTATCATCAGCGAATGAGGATGAAGATTCTAACAAGAGTGGCTACACTGAGTTATAGAGAGACAAGAACGCTGGAAGAGGTAGAGGAGTAGCATTATATATCAAAATGGTGTAAGAACTTAAAAAGATATGAAGGGTCTTAGAAGCTGGATCCGGTTTATGAAAAAACATTCAAAGGGCATAGAGATGGGAGTATACCACAAACCACCAAATTCAATTATCATTAATTTTAGTTAATTGAGGCTTATGTGTAATGGATGAAGATTTATTATTAGAAATTGTAATCTTCCCCATATAGATTGAGAAACATCACTTGAACTAAACTTAAATGACTAGACATGACTATCACCTGCTTTCTAAATTTATTAGAGCACCTGCCAGAGAGAATGTCAGCATTGATCTCTTCTTTTTGAATAATTGAGATAAATTAAGAAAAATTTAAGTTTGGTCATAATATGGTATGCTTTAACATTGTGCAGGCAGAGCTCATAACAAAGGTGCACAATTTTAGGAAAGCAGGCTGAAGGAATAAGAAGTAAAATTGTACAATCAGTAGAACATGGATGGAAATATTCAAATATATTTTGCTTGAAACACAAAACAGGTTAATCACAAAAGTAAATCAAAGGTTACAAAGCACTGGTCATACTGAAAACATATAAGAAGAGTATTAAAATATTTTAAAAGATCATCTGGTTAAAAACATAGCACAAGAAATTGCAAGTACAGGTAAAAAATATGAGACAAATATATATCCACAAGAGAATTAGAAAGGAATATTGCAAAGGTGGCTAGAATCTTTTTCTCAATACTACAACATCAAAAGACCAGTATTAGATTAAATAAAGTGCCATAGTGATTACAAAGGATAACTTTTTTAGACAATGAAAGTGCCGTTGCTAATATTTCACTTAGTTGTTTTTTAGGAAATTTACAAAATGTTCAAAAGGTACGTTTTGTGTTAAAGTTAGTACAAAAGAGGATGAAGTATTACAGATTATAAAAACACTTAAGATTAGCCCAACTGGGCTAGGTGGGCCCAATGACCTTTTTTGTTTGTAACCTTTGTGTTCTCAGACAATCTTAACGTTCTGATGATATTCTAAAGAAAACAATGTATTCATAAATATGATCTCACTCATTAATTAACAAAACCCCAACAGTTTCTCAACACAAAGGGAAGGAGAGTTGACAAGTAATACCCCTTTGTCACCACTGTGTTACACTTGCTGTCTTTAAGGGTACAGTAAGGCCTTCAGCCTGTAGATAGATCTCCGTCAGGCCCTTCACAGTTTCTTGGCACTGCTGTCCCAGGCTTTGTCTCCACGCATAGACAGCACTCTCATAGGAAACCCAGTCCAACAGCTGTGCTGAGCTGGATTTTCTTCATTGTACTGTACTAGGGGGAACAATTAGGGACTACCTGTCGTATTTCCTGACTATGTGGGTTATCTTTGACTGCCATCCAAAGAGAAGAGTTCTAGACCAATTTGGTTCACAAAGATTAGAATCTATTTTATATATATAACTCCCCTCCCCTTCATCACTGCATCCATTATTTAGTACAGCTGGGCTGAATTTTAAAGCAAGAGCAATAAAGGTCTTGGAACAGGATGATTCTGACTCATGCCGAAACTTCTCCTCATATCAGCTGCCAGAATGAAGGGAGCACAGTTAATTCACGCTCTTTGCAGGTTTAAATACGTGAAGACCTGTCCTCTCTGCTTTACTGCCTGCTTCTGGCCAAAAGGTTAATTTAAGGCCATCCTTTTTCTGCTTTGCCTCCCCTTGTGGCCTTCCCTCCCCTTTTTGGAAGCAATAAATCTTATCAAATTTTCTGCCTCCATTTAAAAAAAAACATATTTCCACTATTACAGAAAGGAAAATAACTTTTCCTTAACTCAACTAAAAATGATCCCACATCTTGAAAGATTTACCAACGTTAGCAGTTTTACTTTGATAGGGCTATGTTGGCAAATTATTGCATTAAAAATCCCGTCATAAAACAACCATTAGTAGTTCAGCGATATACCATTTGATAAAATAAGTAATTGTTTTTAGTAAATCAAAGTTTAACTAAGCTCCATTTAATGCCTTGCAACTCTAGGTACTGTACAGGAATATGTAAAAATAATCCCTTAAAATCAAGAGCAGAAAAAGAAATTACTATAATTACTTTCATTTTATAAATTTATATGGAAGGAATGCACTACATATTCATGGATTAAAACAAATTGATTCATGCACTAAATAGAAGGTATGGCATTTCAAAAGCTCTTTAGTATATGAGCAGATTGTTTCCAAATGCTACTTTAAAAGAACCTATCAAAGTGAGAAAGGACAAGGGCCAAGGGTGTTTTCAAGTAGAGAGCACCCGGGTCAAAGGATTGGTCAGATTGAGAGTATTGGGGCCAGGAGATTGGTCAGGGAGACAGTGTTGGGGCCAAGGGATTGGTCAGGGAGACATTACTGGGGCCAGGGGATTGGTCAGATAGACAGTATTGGGTCCAGGGGATTGGTCAGGGAGAAAGTACTGCGGCCAGGGGATTGGTCAGGGAGATAGTACTGCGGCCAGGGGATTGGTCAGAGAGACAGTATTGGGGCCAGGGGATTGGTCAGGGAGACAGTACTGGGGCCAGGGGATTGGTCAGAGAGA